CACCTGCCACCCTAACACCATGAGCTGACTGTGGTGCAGGCAGGGCCAAAGGGGTATGAGACACACATTAGGTTTCAAGAGACAAACTGATGGATTCTTCCAGAACTGGAAAGAACAATAACTATTTTAGATGATAGTAAAACAGGTATCCACAGTCACATCTGATTCAACACTGATTAACACTGAATACAAACCAGACCTATTTCTTTGACATAATATTAGATTAAGTCAGCCAGTTTAAATGAGGGGAAGTGAATATGAAGATTTAGAGCCCAGCAAGGAAGAACTAGGGGTGGCACAACACTCCCGACATTAAGAGGGTAATTTATCTTATCCTGTGTGGTTAAGTGGCTTTGAGAGGTCAGGTGCATGTTTTTCTCCATTAACTGTCAGGGCACTACAAGATGACAAGCTCAGATTTACAGGTCTACCTTTAGAATGCCCAAAGTAAAGCGGGAGGCATCCCACCTCACATACTCACTCACCGACCTCTTATCCTAAGGAAAGAGAAAGACGGGAGAAGCTGACAGCATTACTCACATTCTCAAAAAACTGTAGGAGCTTTGCTATTTCCTCTGATGCTACTTATCCAAACGGCCCTCTGCTCAGTTTAAGCTTAGAAGAGAACGACAGTTCTATTTGTCTTCTCTCGGCTTTCTTGGTCAACACATCCCATTTACTATGACCAACATATTTTCAAATCGTATTGAAATTTCATACAAAAAAGATAAAGGATCTTCAAGAAGAAGGGAAGAGAGAGTGCCGAGGCACTATTCTTGCTCAAGAATTTGGGGCATGTGTTTCGAGAAGCTATGTTACTGCCAAAGCTACAGCTCTCCAGATTCTCAGGGTGTGTGCATGTACTACAGCTGAGAACAGAACTACACTTAAAAATCTGAAAAACAAACAAGCTTGCAAGAATTCAAACACAGTGGGCAAGCTGTAGCATTTTTATTGTTATTATTCAATTCAACTCTGCTTGATTAATTTTATGGAACCAAAATACATGAGGAAGGAAGAAGAAGGAATACATTTCCATATAAAATGGGCAAAACTTTATGAAATTAAAGTTATAGAGCTTAAAACATTACTCGGAGCTATCAATTCATTTATGTTGTTTATTTTTGAGAAATCATTATGCTGGACAGTAAAAGGATAATAAGCATTTTGGAGGAATGAAATCAAACACACCTTTTAAAAAAAACAATAAAATGTGGTGCTCCAAAATCATTTATATGAGCAATTTTTTCATCTTTCTCCAGAGCTAAATATTATTAAATTTTACTAAAGATAAGACCTGTACTTGTTCCACAAACAAAATCAATTAGCAGTAGAACTACATAGAAATATCATATTAGGACATACTATATTAGGACAGCGGAAAAATTGAGCCAAATCCATTTGATGTGGAATAGACATAATCTGTATCAAGTTCAACAACACATTGGGGAGTACTTCAGAAATTTCTAAGAAGGACGGGGTATTTTGAAGAAATACAGTCTCTTCAGCACAGTAAAAAGAACTGTTTACACTAGAAATTCTTTGAAAAAGGACCAGCATGAATTTAAGAAGTTATGTTTTCATTATTTCATCACTGAAAATAATAGCTAAGGGTTGAAATAAATGTATGCATTCCACAGTTCTCTTCTCTCTTTCAAAATGTGTGTGTTTAAAGACAAGAACGTAGCACATCAGTGCAACTGGGGACCGCAACTGAGGACTGAATTACCCTTAAAACCAGCCAGTCTTCTCAGAAGTCAGGTCTAAATTACCAATCACTATCTCTATGCCTGGTCAATAAGGTTACTCACCTTTTCTCATGTCACAGTCAGAGACAATCATATGCATTTAATCTCCCCATCACGTAGCATTATATGGGCATGGAGAAACACACGCTGTGCATCAAGAGACGAGACTGAATCAGCACCACATCCACGAGGCAGGTAATGCCCAAACCATGGTACTGCTCCAAAAGAAAGTGAAGCAACTTTCTGCACTCTGCCTTGCAGCCAAGGGGGGGATAGCTAAGCTGCTTTTAGGCTTATGGTAGCCTTCTGAACACCGACTTTTTTAGGAAATTGAAAGGGTCTGTGTGATTTTGATAGCCCTTGGAGCTTGTTTTAGGAACACTGCTGTGTCACATCGGAGCACCCGACACAGCAGGGGCAGCCGTGCCGCACTGCAGCACCAGCATGCGATTCCCCATTGCTTCTCCCAGCAAGAGCTTTTCCATCTGCTTTCGTACTCCCAGCAGTTCAGGCACCCTGCCATCAAGGCCTGCCCCCAACACATTCCTCTTCTAAAAGTCTCTTAATGCCTCTCTAGTCAAACTCATGATAGAGGCACAGAGCAAGGATTAGGCCTATTCCCAGTCTTTCTTTGTCTGGGAGAGGGGAAATGAAAATACCAAACTCTTCTTAAAAAGGTGCCATACAGTCAGCTACCATATTAGACGAACTTCAGCATCGCTATAATTGTTTGGGTTTTTGTTTTGTTTTGTTTTTTTTTTTTAAGAAAAATGATAGATGAATAAAGTAAAAAAAAAGATCAACAAACAGTATATCCTACATGGCCAGTTTAGCCAGGTCCACATATCTTATTGCTACTCTTGAAATACAGAGCATAAATCTACTGTTTGCAAACATGTAGATCTTTCCTCCATCCAGACTGGCTTCTAAGGCACGTACTCAAGGTAAAACTACTGGCAGGAGTCTGCAGAGATTTTAAAGAAACAGGAATCTAGCTATGGGTCTGTATTGGGTCAAGCTGTATAGTGATGTGCTTTCTATTGGTATGTAGAAAGAGGTTGATAACACAGCAATGTTTTGGCTACTGCTGAGCAGTGCTTGAACAGCATCAAGGCTGTGACTCCAATATTTCCCCCCCACCAGTAGGCTGGAAGGGGGCAAGATCGTGGGAGGGGAGGTAGCCAAGACACCTGACCCAAACCAACCAAAGGGATATTCCAT